TAAGCCTGTGTCAAGGTAAACCGTATGTAATAGCGAGGTAAGCCTGTGTCAAGGTAAACCTTATGTAATAGCGAGGTAAGCCTGTGTAAAGGTAAACCGTATGTAATAGCAAGGTAAGCCTGTGTCAAGGTAAACCGTATGTAATAGCAAGGTAAGCCTGTGTCAAGGTAAACCGTATGTAATAGCAAGGTAAGCCTGTGTCAAGGTAAACCTTATGTAATAGCAAGGTAAGCCTGTGTCAAGGTAAACCGTATGTAATAGCGAGGTAAGCCTGTGTCAAGGTAAACCGTATGTAATAGCAAGGTAAGCCTGTGTCAAGGTAAACCGTATGTAATAGCAAGGTAAGCCTGTGTCAAGGTAAACCGTATGTAATAGCAAGGTAAGCCTGTGTCAAGGTAAACCGTATGTAATAGCAAGGTAAGCCTGTGTAAAGGTAAACCGTATGTAATAGCAAGGTAAGCCTGTGTCAAGGTAAACCGTATGTAATAGCAAGGTAAGCCTGTGTCAAGGTAAACCGTATGTAATAGCAAGGTAAGCCTGTGTAAAGGTAAACCGTATGTAATAGCAAGGTAAGCCTGTGTCAAGGTAAACCGTATGTAATAGCAAGGTAAGCCTGTGTCAAGGTAAACCGTATGTAATAGCAAGGTAAGCCTGTGTCAAGGTAAACCTTATGTAATAGCGAGGTAAGCCTGTGTAAAGGTAAACCGTATGTAATAGCAAGGTAAGCCTGTGTCAAGGTAAACCGTATGTAATAGCAAGGTAAGCCTGTGTCAAGGTAAACCGTATGTAATAGCAAGGTAAGCCTGTGTCAAGGTAAACCTTATGTAATAGCAAGGTAAGCCTGTGTCAAGGTAAACCGTATGTAATAGCAAGGTAAGCCTGTGTCAAGGTAAACCGTATGTAATAGCAAGGTAAGCCTGTGTCAAGGTAAACCGTATGTAATAGCAAGGTAAGCCTGTGTCAAGGTAAACCTTATGTAATAGCAAGGTAAGCCTGTGTCAAGGTAAACCGTATGTAATAGCAAGGTAAGCCTGTGTAAAGGTAAACCGTATGTAATAGCAAGGTAAGCCTGTGTCAAGGTAAACCGTATGTAATAGCAAGGTAAGCCTGTGTAAAGGTAAACCGTATGTAATAGCAAGGTAAGCCTGTGTCAAGGTAAACCGTATGTAATAGCAAGGTAAGCCTGTGTCAAGGTAAACCGTATGTAATAGCAAGGTAAGCCTGTGTCAAGGTAAACCTTATGTAATAGCAAGGTAAGCCTGTGTCAAGGTAAACCGTATGTAATAGCAAGGTAAGCCTGTGTCAAGGTAAACCGTATGTAATAGCAAGGTAAGCCTGTGTCAAGGTAAACCGTATGTAATAGCAAGGTAAGCCTGTGTAAAGGTAAACCGTATGTAATAGCAAGGTAAGCCTGTGTCAAGGTAAACCTTATGTAATAGCAAGGTAAGCCTGTGTCAAGGTAAACCTTATGTAATAGCAAGGTAAGCCTGTGTCAAGGTAAACCGTATGTAATAGCGAGGTAAGCCTGTGTCAAGGTAAACCGTATGTAATAGCGAGGTAAGCCTGTGTCAAGGTAAACCGTATGTAATAGCGAGGTAAGCCTGTGTCAAGGTAAACCGTATGTAATAGCGAGGTAAGCCTGTGTCAAGGTAAACCTTATGTAATAGCGAGGTAAGCCTGTGTCAAGGTAAACCTTATGTAATAGCAAGGTAAGCCTGTGTCAAGGTAAACCTTATGTAATAGCAAGGTAAGCCTGTGTCAAGGTAAACCGTATGTAATAGCAAGGTAAGCCTGTGTCAAGGTAAACCGTATGTAATAGCAAGGTAAGCCTGTGTAAAGGTAAACCGTATGTAATAGCAAGGTAAGCCTGTGTCAAGGTAAACCTTATGTAATAGCAAGGTAAGCCTGTGTCAAGGTAAACCTTATGTAATAGCAAGGTAAGCCTGTGTCAAGGTAAACCTTATGTAATAGCAAGGTAAGCCTGTGTCAAGGTAAACCGTATGTAATAGCGAGGTAAGCCTGTGTCAAGGTAAACCGTATGTAATAGCGAGGTAAGCCTGTGTCAAGGTAAACCGTATGTAATAGCGAGGTAAGCCTGTGTCAAGGTAAACCGTATGTAATAGCGAGGTAAGCCTGTGTCAAGGTAAACCTTATGTAATAGCAAGGTAAGCCTGTGTCAAGGTAAACCGTATGTAATAGCGAGGTAAGCCTGTGTCAAGGTAAACCTTATGTAATAGCGAGGTAAGCCTGTGTCAAGGTAAACCTTATGTAATAGCAAGGTAAGCCTGTGTCAAGGTAAACCTTATGTAATAGCGAGGTAAGCCTGTGTCAAGGTAAACCTTATGTAATAGCAAGGTAAGCCTGTGTCAAGGTAAACCTTATGTAATAGCAAGGTAAGCCTGTGTCAAGGTAAACCTTATGTAATAGCAAGGTAAGCCTGTGTCAAGGTAAACCTTATGTAATAGCGAGGTAAGCCTGTGTCAAGGTAAACCTTATGTAATAGCGAGGTAAGCCTGTGTCAAGGTAAACCTTATGTAATAGCAAGGTAAGCCTGTGTCAAGGTAAACCTTATGTAATAGCGAGGTAAGCCTGTGTCAAGGTAAACCTTATGTAATAGCAAGGTAAGCCTGTGTCAAGGTAAACCTTATGTAATAGCAAGGTAAGCCTGTGTCAAGGTAAACCTTATGTAATAGCAAGGTAAGCCTGTGTCAAGGTAAACCTTATGTAATAGCGAGGTAAGCCTGTGTCAAGGTAAACCGTATGTAATAGCGAGGTAAGCCTGTGTCAAGGTAAACCTTATGTAATAGCAAGGTAAGCCTGTGTCAAGGTAAACCTTATGTAATAGCGAGGTAAGCCTGTGTCAAGGTAAACCGTATGTAATAGCGAGGTAAGCCTGTGTCAAGGTAAACCGTATGTAATAGCGAGGTAAGCCTGTGTCAAGGTAAACCTTATGTAATAGCGAGGTAAGCCTGTGTCAAGGTAAACCTTATGTAATAGCAAGGTAAGCCTGTGTCAAGGTAAACCTTATGTAATAGCAAGGTAAGCCTGTGTCAAGGTAAACCTTATGTAATAGCGAGGTAAGCCTGTGTCAAGGTAAACCGTATGTAATAGCGAGGTAAGCCTGTGTCAAGGTAAACCGTATGTAATAGCGAGGTAAGCCTGTGTCAAGGTAAACCGTATGTAATAGCGAGGTAAGCCTGTGTCAAGGTAAACCTTATGTAATAGCGAGGTAAGCCTGTGTCAAGGTAAACCTTATGTAATAGCGAGGTAAGCCTGTGTCAAGGTAAACCTTATGTAATAGCGAGGTAAGCCTGTGTCAAGGTAAACCGTATGTAATAGCGAGGTAAGCCTGTGTCAAGGTAAACCGTATGTAATAGCGAGGTAAGCCTGTGTCAAGGTAAACCGTATGTAATAGCGAGGTAAGCCTGTGTCAAGGTAAACCGTATGTAATAGCGAGGTAAGCCTGTGTCAAGGTAAACCGTATGTAATAGCGAGGTAAGCCTGTGTCAAGGTAAACCTTATGTAATAGCGAGGTAAGCCTGTGTCAAGGTAAACCTTATGTAATAGCAAGGTAAGCCTGTGTCAAGGTAAACCTTATGTAATAGCAAGGTAAGCCTGTGTCAAGGTAAACCTTATGTAATAGCGAGGTAAGCCTGTGTCAAGGTAAACCGTATGTAATAGCGAGGTAAGCCTGTGTCAAGGTAAACCGTATGTAATAGCGAGGTAAGCCTGTGTCAAGGTAAACCGTATGTAATAGCGAGGTAAGCCTGTGTCAAGGTAAACCTTATGTAATAGCAAGGTAAGCCTGTGTCAAGGTAAACCTTATGTAATAGCAAGGTAAGCCTGTGTCAAGGTAAACCTTATGTAATAGCGAGGTAAGCCTGTGTCAAGGTAAACCGTATGTAATAGCGAGGTAAGCCTGTGTCAAGGTAAACCGTATGTAATAGCGAGGTAAGCCTGTGTCAAGGTAAACCGTATGTAATAGCGAGGTAAGCCTGTGTCAAGGTAAACCTTATGTAATAGCGAGGTAAGCCTGTGTCAAGGTAAACCTTATGTAATAGCGAGGTAAGCCTGTGTCAAGGTAAACCTTATGTAATAGCGAGGTAAGCCTGTGTCAAGGTAAACCGTATGTAATAGCGAGGTAAGCCTGTGTCAAGGTAAACCGTATGTAATAGCGAGGTAAGCCTGTGTCAAGGTAAACCGTATGTAATAGCGAGGTAAGCCTGTGTCAAGGTAAACCGTATGTAATAGCGAGGTAAGCCTGTGTCAAGGTAAACCTTATGTAATAGCGAGGTAAGCCTGTGTCAAGGTAAACCTTATGTAATAGCAAGGTAAGCCTGTGTCAAGGTAAACCTTATGTAATAGCAAGGTAAGCCTGTGTCAAGGTAAACCTTATGTAATAGCGAGGTAAGCCTGTGTCAAGGTAAACCGTATGTAATAGCGAGGTAAGCCTGTGTCAAGGTAAACCGTATGTAATAGCGAGGTAAGCCTGTGTCAAGGTAAACCGTATGTAATAGCGAGGTAAGCCTGTGTCAAGGTAAACCTTATGTAATAGCGAGGTAAGCCTGTGTCAAGGTAAACCTTATGTAATAGCAAGGTAAGCCTGTGTCAAGGTAAACCTTATGTAATAGCAAGGTAAGCCTGTGTCAAGGTAAACCTTATGTAATAGCAAGGTAAGCCTGTGTCAAGGTAAACCTTATGTAATAGCGAGGTAAGCCTGTGTCAAGGTAAACCTTATGTAATAGCGAGGTAAGCCTGTGTAAAGGTAAACCGTATGTAATAGCAAGGTAAGCCTGTGTCAAGGTAAACCGTATGTAATAGCAAGGTAAGCCTGTGTCAAGGTAAACCTTATGTAATAGCGAGGTAAGCCTGTGTCAAGGTAAACCTTATGTAATAGCGAGGTAAGCCTGTGTAAAGGTAAACCGTATGTAATAGCAAGGTAAGCCTGTGTCAAGGTAAACCTTATGTAATAGCAAGGTAAGCCTGTGTCAAGGTAAACCTTATGTAATAGCGAGGTAAGCCTGTGTCAAGGTAAACCTTATGTAATAGCGAGGTAAGCCTGTGTCAAGGTAAACCGTATGTAATAGCAAGGTAAGCCTGTGTAAAGGTAAACCGTATGTAATAGCAAGGTAAGCCTGTGTAAAAGTAAACCGTATGTGATAGTAAGGTAAGCCTGTATAAAAGTAAACCTGTATATACGGTGCTAGAAGTGCTCCAACTTTTTCCAGCGTCAGACGAATGACATCTAAGCAAAGTGCGACAATCTTAAAATTTAAATCATCCAAGACATTCCCCAATGTAAGAAAATAGGAATGCAAATGTGCTGCAAATTTACGCGTATCTTCCGGTGTTATTCCATTCATAATTGCATTTACCTGAAAGAAATTTGAAAGTTTCTTACATATTCCTTATTTTTAAAAAGTTATTTAAAGTTTAGTCATTTAAAAATAGAACTGTGGATATTTCTTGAGAATTTCTAATCAAATATTTTTGTTGTAGGGAAAATTGTTTAATTAACCTGTTCAAGAGCAGCAATTCTTGAAGTTGCATCAGTTTCATTATTGAGCATATTACTGGTTGACATTGGTATGATACCAAATCGATACCGTAATTCCACATCAACAGAAGATGGCATTTTCTCCTTATTCACCACACCTTCTAAAAATTATATTTCATAAATTGTATATAGAAAAAAGAAGCATACAATAATTTGAATAGTGTAGCATTAAATAATTGGAAAACTTTTTAGAGCTGAAACTAAACTTTTTCTTATATAATATTCTTAGAATTTCAAAAATTTCACATTTAATAATTTATGTTTGAGTTGTTTAAACTTATCATCTGAAACATAAAAATGAATTTTAGTTTGAAAAGATTTAGTTTAAGATTTTAGATTAAAAGCTTATAAAATCGAGAAAACCCGAAGGAGTAATTATACCTTTCATAGTATCACTTGTTTCAAAAATTATTTGTTCATATTTCTTCCATATTTCATACTGCTTCGTACTTAACTCTGATAAAATCTTCCTCAATTTCTCTGTACCTAAGTACACTAAAAGAAAAAAATAAAAAAATGTAAGAAAAAATTGAAATAATTAAATCGAATAATTTGAAATTAATCAAATTCTGTAGAAGGAATTGTTTGATTTGAATTACTTTAGCACATATTGCTCAATAGTGGGTTATTGATTATTTCAATATACTAAATTAAAAGTTGCACAAATTTTTCATTTATTAAATTTATGTTCGTTGATTAGTGCTAAATTTTAGTATGAAAATTTCATCTCGAATTATTTTGATGAAAATTATTTGAGGGTTTTAATAATAAATTAATGCAATAATGAAAAACAAACCCTTAAAGTGGGCAAGTAGACGAATAATTTTTTCAGATCTTTCAGATGAAATTATGTGTAACATCTCGACTAAACTACTAATTAAAAATTTCCAATTTTGATTAGCACATTCGATTATCATAAGATTTGGAATTTCTCTTAATGCTTCATCTTTTATTTGCATATCATTTTCATTGTTCAGTAGGAAATTTCCAATTACTTTCTACAAAGAAAAAAAATGGACACAGAAGAGTTCATCAAATTTTGAAATCTTCGATATTTTAACATTAACATTTTCAATATTCATTTCTTTTCTTTCTAATATCATTTTTTTATTTGTAAATTTAGAGCCATTTTATTTTAAGTTATAAATTTTATAAACATTTTCTAGCATTATTGAAAACAAAAAAGATGAGCTAAAAACAGATCAAAATTTACCTGAACAATATTTAAAGCATCAGGTTGTAATTTCAGATAAGCTATAAGCATTTGATTTGTTATTCGACGTATCGTTATCTTCGGGCTACCCAATTTAATTACTATTGACGGTAACAAATAAGTTATGCACCATTCCATGTACTTAAAATAATGAAATTTCAAAATTCACTTAATTTAACAAAAGGCATACATTCAAAACTATACATATATATACTTAAACAAAGCCAAATTGATATATTATTAATCTGTTTTAATTAGATCAAAATTTGCATCAAAAAATCGCTGCCATTTTTTTTTAGTCTCATTTGTTTCCTTCAAAAAACTTATTTGTTTCGTTAACATAATTTTAACCAATAATACCAATTTTAAATCAATTATGCATTAATCAAGTATTGATAGAACTCAGCTCCTCAGTAATTAACAGTAAATTCTCAGTAGATATATTCAATTTTAGTTTAAATTAGTTTAATTGCTAGGTTTTAAATCGTTCGAAGATAGATTAAAGGTGGTTTCAGAGGTGATAATTAAGTTCTGGGACAACTAAATTCAGCTAACTGTGCAAGCATTTCAAAGAGAACACTTTGCATTTTCTTTTATTTCATTTTTTCTTCCCATCATTCGACAGTTGTCGAAATAATACAGTGTTAATCCGTAAGATGAAAGACTGTCTTTCCTGAATATTCTTAGACAAATACAAATCGATGCAAACAGTCATGCACCATGCACCTGCCACCTGCAGCTGCACTGTCACAGGGGAAGGTGCACTGCTTGGTACGTAAAGTGAGGACTAACTCTTGCTGCAACCGTGTGCTTACCCGAGCCTTTATGCAAGTTTTCGAGACTCAGTAAACTAACTTGGACTGCCCTCCTCATCACTGCTTCAGTTCTCCACCAGTTTCTCCTCTCCAACCCGTACCACTTGCAGGCCTTCAATCCTATCAAATTAGCTGTGCATTGCCGTTGCTAGCGAATAAAAGTGGTTGCAACATCCTTGATACCAGTTCAAAACCAGGTCAAAACCAGGTCAAAACAGCCATTAAGAAGGGTTCCCTAATATAAACTCTCAGCAATAGGTCATTCAAGCTAATTTGAATTATTGATACAAATTGTAAATTGAAAAAAATGAAAATCTTCCTGTAGTATTACCAGTCTTTGATAAAATCAGAGAAAAAGTCTAATATGGAAAATACCACACGAAATAATTGCTTACACGTGGAAACGAATTGCACCTTATTTAATTCTATTTGTCTAGAATTTGACAAAAATATTTCACTTCGCTTGAAAAGCTCCTTTCCTTTAAGAATTTTGAAATTTAAATTCAAAAATCAAATGAAGAATTTGGTAATTAGTTTCAATGCCAGGTGTTGAACTACTCTCTTTAATGTTCAGTAATTTCTTCTCTGTCCTTTTTTTCTTATTCGTTATTCAATTGCAAATATTTTTTCCTGATTGCAGGTTTATTCGTTTTCTTTCTATCTATGCACTTACCCATTTTCTGATAATTAAGTATACAAAGCAAAAAATTTAATTCTTGGAAAGTTAGAGTTATGGAGGAAATTTTATTGGGAAATATTAAGATAAGAAGGGAATTAGCAAATGGTGAAAAAGTAAGCGAAAAGTTATTAAAAGATGTTAAAGTATAAAGAGTAAATTATTAAGTGCGACAAGTATGTAAAAATGAAAATTTATTCAAAATATTAATGTAATACTTTTACATATATATAAATGCAGTTAAAGATTAAAAAATTGAATTTTTAAATGACCAAAAGAGGAAATTAATAAATCTGAGAAATCAATAAACCTGAATAAGCACATTACCGGTAAAAAAAGTAATAAATCTTTTGCTAATACTTACCTACTTATTTATTATTGGAAAAAGTATAACTTACGTCTCCAAAAGTTGGTAAAGCATCATGTAGAAATTTAATGCACTGATGTTGTACTTCCCAACGATCATCCATTAAGAGACGCTCGAGTTGTTTGAATAAATCACCTTTTTTGACAAACTTGGAAAACCATTGTGGGTCATGCTTCAACCAGACGGTTAAACGACTTAGAGTCTATAAAAGTTCATTTCCGGATTTGCTGTCCTTTTTCTTAAACGTTATTCAGGATATTTGCTGTTGTAAGGAATTTGAAAAATTCAATTAGCCTTTGGTGTTTTTTCTGTTACATTATAGTAAAGTTAAAAGAAAATATTAAAAGTTAGAAAAGAATTTTTTAATTTTTGTACTTTTTACCACCATTTTCTTTACTTTAATTTTCCTAATTCATAGGTTTAGCCTAGAAATTAAAAGTAAAATATACTTAAAAGAGTTTTTTATTGCTTTTTTTAAAATTTTTGCATGGATAAAATCACATTTAAACCATACTTTAATAATATTTCTTCAGTAATCAATTACCATTCAAAACAGATACTTACTTGCAAGCGAACATCAAAATCAGTGCTGCGCAAAAATTCAATAATGTCTTCGTCGGGCGGTAACAATGGTGTACTATGATCCGTTGCTATTGGTGCCAACATGTAGAATTGTCCTAAAGAACACCGCAATATATCATTAATGTGATAAAGCTGAATTAGTTTGGACGATTCTTATCAGAAGAGATCAGTGATATTTAGATAGAGGGAAAGGAGATTGCATTAATTCGATCCTTTACAAAAGTTCCATCCTCTGATCTCGATGAATCCGATAATTTGAAAATTTATCAGTCTTAAAAGGTCATTTAAAGCCTAATAAGTTTTAAAATATTTTCGGAAGAGAGAAAAGAGGAAAAAATTATTTCAATTCATTAAACTATTTTAAATCAAGAAAAATAAAATTATTGAATTAAAGTTAAAAGAAAATCAAATTATTCTCACTCACAAAACATCTGATTAATAAAATCTTCCAATTTCACTACTGTTTTGATATCTGCTATAAGAACCAAAGTATAGAAACATTCTCGAAACTCAAAATGACAAAGAGATATTCTCGAAGTTATCACTGATCACTCATATACAAATAAATGCCCCATTGTCTGAATATATTACTTTAAAAGTTATAATATACAATAAGTATTGAATACAATTTTAATATATTCGTTCCTCTCAGAAAGAAATGGAATAAATTTTTAAATAAAATACATAAAGTATGGGAGAAATTCTTTAATTTTTTTTCAAAATAATTTTTGAAAAAAAAAAGTAGTAACATTCCATAATTTGTTCATTTTGATTGAATTAACTCGAAAGAAGAAATAATTTTATAAGCACATGCTAGTTTAGCAAAGATCTGATCATGTAGGTAAATATTACTTTACCTAAGAATGAATTATAATTTACTTAAGAAACGGATGAAACATATTGCTTATAGAATATGAATGAAAAAGAAAAGTACGAAGGATTACTCTCCTTTTTTTCATCTAAAACTGAATCAAGAAAGATGAATGATGAATGAAAAGGTAGGTGAAATAATAGTGAAGTGAAAGAGGTAGGTACCTGAATTTGTCGTCACCACGGTAACCAAATTAATCGACGTGTCCCAATTGCTGTCCCTTAAATCAAATATCCATAGAGTCTTTACTGTCACACAAATATTATTATAGACAAAATATAAACATAAATTACAACAAGACTGTTCACAAAAAACAATTTTTCTCTTCAATCACATTTGTGATCTACTAATTTTTTAAAGAAAGTGAAAAACTTAAAAAAATTTTAATTTAAATTAGTGATTTGTTCAAATTCTGTTTGTATGAAATTAAATAGAGAACAACTGAATAATTATCTGACACTATTAATGTTCCTTTTTGGCGTGCTCACGTTACGTAAGTGCTCATTTCTGGCGTGCTCACGTTACGTAAGTGCTCATTTCTGGCGTGCTCACGTTACGTGCAGGAATGCAAGTGTAAAATAGTGCAGTGTATAGTGGAAATAAAATTGATTCAAACAATTTAGATGTATATGAATGAATGAATGATTCATTTATTTACATAATTGATAAGCTTTTTTTTTTCACTAAAATATTTCTTGAAAAAATTGAAATTTAAACTTCAAAGTTTTTAATTGAACAAAGTATTGAAGTTCTTATTAACATAAATCATCATTTGCACTTATGTAAAACTCATATTCAAAGAAGCTATAAATTAATTTATTTCTTGATAAGCTTATGGAATTGTAAATACACTTTGTGAGTTTATGATTAAAGACTTTCAGAAAATCAAATATAATTTTTAAAACAATTCAATGTAGATAATGCGATTTTTTTTTTTTTTTTTGAATAGTGGTAATTCCCTGAAAATGCTTGCATACACTGAAATTATTAATTGAAAAAATGTTTCTTTTTGAAGATTACTCATTTATTCAGAGCTTTTAATGAAATATTTTTTAAGCTATAAAATTTATATTGAGAATGACAGTCTACTATTTCTGCATAGCAATGTGATCAACAATGATCAATTCAAGCGATAGTCATTGTCACAAAGAACATCGATCGTCTGCGAATTGATCCGCGGAAATTAGAAATTGGCATTAATTATTTTACTGTGTGACAAATCTTACCCATTCGATCAGCAAATTCTACACCAAATGACCATCCATCTTCACTCTTTCACTATCCTTGCTGTCTTTTTCCACACGAATGTGACCTAAATTTGAATTTTTATGACGAGAATAATTGATGAGTGTAGGAGAAGGTTGCTCTTAGTACTTCTACTGCTACTCAGGCAATGTCACATCGCAGCATTAGTTAGTTCTTTGAAATCTTTTTTCATTCAGTATTAAAATTTTAACTCTATGAATTTTATTGCAAATTTGTCATTTGCTTATTCAGTTAATTTCAGTCTAAACTTTTACTAATCAATGATTATGCAAAGTTCACCATGAAAACAAGGAAAAAAAAAATAAATACCATTTGATTAGATTATCAATTCAGTTTTAGAGAACGAAAAAATCGTCCTTTATTGAAAATTAAATTTGGTTATAAGTTTTCTCTTTAATTTCATTTTTTAAACTTTAAAATCTTTTTATATGAAATAATATTAGAAAATATTCAAATTTTTGCACATTTTATTTTATGGATAAACTTTTCATTTCAAAAATTTTTAAGCCTTATGACAATGAAAATTTTAATTGTTTCACTTCTTTTTTGTTATCATTACCA